AATAATAATAATAATAATAATAATAATCCATATATTTAGCTTGACCTGTATCCAGTGCATTTTAGATAGACTATGCATGACCTCACCAGACAGCGGAGGGTGGTTTTGCACAGACTCAAAGCATCCTGTTGGTCCTCACTTCTTGGTCCCCCAGTTTTGGAGGCTCATGATTCACAAACATTTCCTGGCTTTTCTAGGCTCTAATTTCTGTTACTCCTGATGAGGAGACGTATGATGAAGAGGATGCTGCCTTCTGCTTGGAGATGCTTCTGCGGATTGTGCTAGAGAATAGGTATGACCTTGAAATACATGCAGATTCACTGTAAATGTCCCTGCTTTACAGCAGCTGCTGTCTGGGTCCAGGGAATGAGTTCCTTATGTGCTTGATTTGCCAGCTGAAGCAGCATGTGGCTGTAATTTCAGGGCTTAGCAATTCCACTCTAACATGTGCGAACAGAGGGACTATTCGCCCATGAATTATTGCTTGATATCCTGAGATTTGGAGAACATAAACTAAACTCTGGATGGAGAATTCTCCCACCTGATTGCTTTGCAAGTAATGAAGTAAATAAGAAATTTGATGGCTTTTTTTTTTTTAATGTGCCTGTTCTTGTATCTCCTGGCTGGAGTTTTTCATTGAAACGAAGAAATACTAGGTTGTCTGGACTTCTGGGAGAGGTAGCTGGATCCTGCTTGTCTCATCTCCTTTCATCCTACCCTTTCCCTCCTCCTTATTGTGGCTAGGGACCGTGTGACCTGTGTCTGGCAAACTGTCAGAGACCATCTCTATCATCTCTGTGTCCATGCAATGGAGTTCTGCTTCTTGGTGGAGAGGGCAGTGGTGGGGCTGCTGAGACTGGCCATTCGGCTCCTTCGGCGGGAAGAAATCAGCGTGCAGGTAAGGGATTTTTGAAAATCAGTTACTGGGGTTTTGTGGCTACACCTGGCAATACAGGAAACCAGTTGCTGTTGGATATACCCACATTTAACCTGTCTGTGCTACAGGTAACAACAAACAGCAGTTATAAGTAGCTCTAAATAAATGACGGAGGACTTTGATGGAGAATGGAGTGTAAATAATGGGGTCTGTTACTCTTGTCTCCTCCTCTGGCCAGGTTCTCCTCTCATTACGTATCCTGCTCATGATGAAGCCAAATGTGCTGTCCAGAGTTAGCCATGAGGTTGCCTATGGCCTCCATGAGCTCCTGAAGACCAATGCTGCCAACATTCACTCTGGGGATGACTGGTACACGCTCTTCACCCTCCTGGAGTGTATTGGGTCTGGGGTGAAGCCACCAGCAGCCCTGCAGGTTACAGCAAGGGCAGATAATGACACAGGTAAGACAGGCCAGCTTTTGCTAGGAAATCTGATGCCTGCCTGCCAGATAAGCAGCTGCTTCCTCAAGCTTTTCAATTAGCAAAGGGGACTGCAAGAAAACAAAGCTGATATTAAACTACATTAGCAAGATTAAAGACCAGCACCTGCTGTTCACTTCTACCCGATGGTCTGTCCCTGTCTCTACTCTGCCATCTCTTCCTACTCAGTGAGCAGCAGTCCAGGTGCTAGTCCCTGGGGGAGCAGCGGGAGGAAAACTGATATCAGTTGTAGCAGCTGTAGAAGGTCTTTGCTCTGCACAAGGAGTGTTTTCTGCTGGTTGTGGTCTGGTGCCTTGGGTAATATAGCCTTAATCTCTCATCTGGGTGTGTAATGTCAACCCAGCTGTTGTTCCTGTCATACTTCCTTCTTTTGTGGGACTGACTCCTTTCTGTCCCCGTTTTAAGGATCTTGTAAAGGGAGTTGTTCTTTAAAATTCGATTTCCAAATCCATTTGTGTTCAGAGTGCCTGAACCATTCCCACAAGACCAACCCAACAATTTCCCACTTCTCTCGACTGTGTTAGAAAGATGGTCTTTTCAGCAAACTGTTCCTGTTTCACTTTAGCCAGCTGGCAATGTATTTGAGGCTGACAGCTTTAGACTTTTAAAGCAAACAAGCAGGAAAAGACTTTTCCAGAAGCCTTTGTTTTCCTCTTTGCTTTTCTAGAACTTCCTTGCTAGGTCCTGATGATTTGTGCTAGACAGATGGGAGAAACCTGACTTTGCAAAATCCTTATGGCCTTTGCCTTCTGAGATAATGCTGGGTTGTCTTCTCCTATCTTTTTTTTTTTTTAATACTTCTTCTGTCTTTGGGCAAACTACTTGACTGTGGCACCTTGCACAACAGAACATTAGTTCTCTTTATGTCCTTCTGCAAATGTTTGGTGCACTGTGTTCACAGCAAGTCTGTCTGCTGGTTCCTTTCTAGATAATGTTGAATGATGGAGAGAATGAATTTTTGCTTCTGAGTAACATTATATCAGTAGCTTAAGTTTGGCCCTTGCAAAGATTTCTGTGCTTAGGTCACGTTAAATTCAAAGTTACCCTAAAGATCAGGAGAGGTAGATCTGACAGGTGTGGAACATGCTAATGTAGATTCTTGATCATGAGAAAGACTTTACCAGTATTAGTGTGGAGCTGAGTGACCCCAAAGGTCCTATGTGAGTCATGTCATTCTGCGTTGTGCTTTTAGAGTGGTCTTGGCTGAACCTAGCACCTCCAGTAGTTCTTAAAATGTGTAGTACATCTGATTCTTCCCCCAGGGTCAAAGCTTTGAACTTCCTGCCCTTTTTAAATCCACAGTCAGGCTGACAAGTGACATAGCAGAGGATGAAAAGCCATAACATACCTACAGGGGAGAAACAGAGTCAAAGATCTGTGTTTCCTGCTGTCTCCTGTGCATTCTCCTGTCACAGTTGTTCTTCCTCTCACAGGAGGAGAGGCCTGGCCCAGTTTCTTCCAGGTCCCATGGTGGTTCCTAGCAGATGCTGATCTTATTAATCCCTTATCCACAGCTACTCTTCCAAGTTCTTGATTTGCTTTGACCTAAAATTCATGCCTTTTGTCTTGAAGGTGCTCAGTCAGACAGCGAGGTCTCCTCCTCCTATCATCCAAGTGACATGAGCCTGGACCGTGGCTACACCTCTGATTCAGAGGTGTACACAGACCATGGGAAGCCAGGCAAGATGCATCGCTCAGTGACAGATGTGGATGTCATGAACAGTGGCTGGCTAGTGGTGAGTAGCCAATGGACTTCTGGTGCCTGAAGAAGACTACTCCTAGCATGGTTGTGGGCAGAGGGTGTGGTAGGGAGAGAAAGAATAAGACAGTAGAAAAGAGAGGTAAGATGAGCTGACAATGTAAAGGGAGGATGGGGAGGAGATGCAGATGTAGAGAAGAAAGCTTGGAGGCAAATGAGGAAGAAAAGGAAGTGGATCCTACAGAAACGTTACCTGTTGGCTTCAGAAGAAAGGCCCTTTCAGCATGTGCATGGGGTGCTGCTTGTTATGCTGCCCTCTCCTGCTACCCTCTTGCTGTGCCCTGCAGGTGGGGAAAGATGACATCGACACCCCCAGATCTGCTGCTGGGCTCAGCAGGCTGGGGCCATCTCCTCTTGTGAACCAGTACAGCCTGACTGTGGGGCTGGATTTGGGCCCACATGACACAAAGTCTCTCATGAAGTGTGTAGAGTCCCTGTCCTTCATCGTGCGAGATGCTGCCCACGTTACACCTGAGAACTTCGAGCTCTGTGTCAAAACCATCCGCATCTTTGTGGAGGCGAGCTTGAATGGGGGTAAGGTGGCCCTTGGTTTGACAATCAAGATTGGGCTTGGGGTGTCCAGTCAGCAAGAAGTGTGAAGTATACTGTCAGGGAACGAGTCCTCAACGCCCGAAAATGGTCTGCTGTGAGAAAAGTGTCCTGGCTCCTGCTGGCAGCAGGGACCTTATTCTTATCCCCCTCTCTGGGATGGAGGAGAGGTCTGGACCTGATGTGGAGATAGCCATATCAGCTGCTGCTGAAGGCTGTTCCTGGGGGGTGCTGGGTACCTACTACCTGGTAGTTGTCATTTTACAGGAGAGGGCTCTCCACTGGGGATATCAAAAGGTGGCTGCTGTGTGTGTTGAAAGGCAGAAAATTTTGTCATGGAATGTGTATATGTTATGTTGCTGCCTTTCACTTTCTAGGCTACAAGTCCCAGGAAAAGAGAGGGAAGAGCCACAGGTATGACAGTAAATCCAGTCGGTTAAAAAAAAAGCCAAAGGAGAGCTCCACACGGAGATCACGGGTCTTGAGCCAGCACCAGGCGCACACACACAGTGATGAGGACGAGGATGAGAGCATCCCTGCCAGCTACCACACTGTGTCTTTACAGGTTAGTCAGGACGTAAGTATAGCAAGGATTTCCTCCTCTCCTTTCCCATACTCAGGGCCTTGCTAGGGAGTCACTGGGATTCTTCATGGGGTGAGGGGGGCTGCATCCTGGGTCAGTGGGCACTGGATGGTAGAGGATGGCTCTGGTAGCAGTGTGTGGCTCTGCAGTGAAAGACTGCAATTTGGACAGGCAAAAGTAAAATAGCAGTGGAGAAAGAAGTCCTCTGAAAAGGAAGGAGGGTGGGGTCTGGAGCTGAGTGTCACTATAGTAGGTAAGATGGATGTGGACAAGGGCATGTGGAGGCATGAGGTTCATATAGGATTAGTGGGGAGCCTGACAGGGTGTCTGAGCTTGTGGAGAGGGGAAAGCCCTGTGGGCTGAGGCACTGGGATTTAAAGTACAGAGGACTGGGATGAGGGAGTCATTTCTCTCTCCAGCTGGTACTTAAAGGTGTGAAGGCACAGGCCTGCTGACAGCCAGGCTGTTCGGCCTCAGTTCAGTAGTGAAGTGACTAAAGTGACTGTCATTTGCCCATACAGAGCTGTTTTGAGGGAGCTTTGCTTGTGCTTTTTTGTTTTGGTTTGTTTGGTTTTTTTTAAAGTTTCAGATCATTGTCCCTGGACAGTATAGCTGAATCACTGGATTTCTCCCTCTGCCTCGGCAGTCAATGCTCTATGCCAGGAAAGGCTCCATTCTTTTTCATGGCAGGATTGGGATTCTGTTTCTTAAAGACGGGATTGACATGGCTACTGAACTGACACAAATCTTGCTGAAGATGCCTGGCACTTGACCACTTAGGGAGGGCACAGACAGCAGGGCCTGACACCATCTCCATAGCTATACATGGTCAGGTACATACAGAAAGCAGGCTTGAGTAGATGTGAGCCTTTTAGCATTGGTGTGGGGAAGAGTGGAGACCAGGACTGCTTCAAAAATTTAAGTCCTATGTGTTGCTTAATGTGATGCTTGACTTGCAGCTCCTGGACCTCATGCACACCTTGCATACACGAGCGGCCACCATCTACAGCTCCTGGGCAGAGGAGCAACGCCACCTAGAGACAGCAGGAAGGAAAATAGAAGCAGATTCCCGAACGCTGTGGTCCAACTGCTGGTGTCCTTTGCTACAGGGTAAAGCCATCCCCTTGTGATGAGAGTGAGCAGAGACACTTCTAAAATAGTGGCAGCACTCAGGAAAGTTGAGCAGCCAAGAACGAACTGCAGAAAGCAAGCGGAGGTTGTTTTTAGGGTCTGCTGTAATTGAGAAAGAACTTGGATTGGATCTGGAAAGGTATCTTTAGCATGAGTTAGCTGCCAGTTTGTTTCTGGACCTGACAGTAGATCCCCAGTCTGTGGCCTGGAACAAGTATAATCCTTTTTTTTTTTTTTTCTTCTTCTTTTTCTCTCCCCCAGAGAGTGTTTGATCTTCATTAGACTTTTCACCCTAGACTTGGGAAGTAGGGATATGACACTTTCCCTGTGGGCTTTGCCCTGAATCACTGTCTTGCAGGTATTGCCTGGCTGTGCTGTGATGCCCGACGCCAGGTGCGGATGCAGGCACTCACTTACTTGCAGCGGGCCCTCCTGGTACATGACCTGCAGGCTTTGGATGCCCTGGAATGGGAGTCTTGCTTCAACAAGGTAACCTCCTGGCTGGGCATGTAGACAGGACAGCATTGTCATGAAGAGCAAAGCTGTGTGCAGGAGTGGCAGAATGGTGTCCTACTTCAGCACCATCTTCCTGAGCAGCTTATTCACCACAACAGACAAGGCATGCCCTACTGTGATCCTATGAAAAGTTTCCCTCTGCTTAGGCTTCTGACAGAGCCTCTTGGAGTATTGAAATGAATCCTCTCATTTCTACTTCCCATTGCTTTTCCCATGCTCTCTGCTTAGAAGCCACCAGTCCCAAAAGCCAGCTCCTTCCTGTAGGGTTGTCTGCAAATCTCATTAGTCATTTTTCATCTCTGAAATATCAATATGTCTGGTCCAACAGGTGCTGTTCCCTCTGCTAACGAAGCTACTCGAGAACATCAGCCCAGCTGACGTTGGTGGGATGGAAGAAACTAGGATGAGAGCCTCAACACTACTCTCCAAGGTGAGCATGCTTCTGCTGCCTGACAGCTCAGGGGAAAGCACGTGCCTCAGAAAACCAAACTGTTTGCTGTATTAGCTTCTCAGCATCTCTGATCTGGATAGGTGTCGTGTTGGTAGTTTGTTTTCAGTGCTAGGCTTCACCACCACCTTCTGCTGTTGGGACATGCCGTCTTTCCAGAACTGTCTCCATGATCCTGGCCTTCAGAAAAGTTGTCAGGAAGGAGTTTATGACTTTATGAAGGATGGAGAGAGAAGTATTTCACCTGACACTAGTTGCAGACAGTCTGTTCTAGTGGTGAAATGGTGCATGTTGTAAGCTGATAGTACTGAGCTAAGGCAGAGAGTCTGGAAGGGCTGAAAGATGTGGTCATGCAGATGGCAGTGGCCTCATGCAAAGGAGAGAAGATCCACTCCTCTACATATGCAGCTCAGAAGAGTGGAGGCCTCTGGTGTCCTCAGGCTGGGCCTGTGCATGCTCCTAGCCTGCCACAAGGAGGGGGAATTCCAGATTTGCAAGACTGGCTTGTCAAGCTATGAGCAGCAGCCCTGATACTCCTTGTTGACAGGAGTTGCGTTTTTTTTCTAGGTGTTCCTACAGCATCTCTCACCACTTCTCTCGCTGACTACCTTCGCTGCCCTGTGGCTGACAATCCTGGACTTTATGGACAAATACATGCATGCTGGCTCTAGTGACTTACTGGTAAGGTGCTGAAAGTGATGCTGCAGTGCTTTGAACAACCATTCATTGGGTTTAACCTTCTAAACCTGAAAGGTGGTTTGGTTTTTGGTTTTGTTTTTTAACCTTTTAATCCTTCCAAAACCATTTTGTTCCATGGTCTCTCCCCTTGGCCTCTGTTTGCAAGGCAGCCCATCAGCTGTTTTGAGCTTTTGTTCATTGCTATGTGTCCATTCTCTGTGTCCTGAGGAGTGTCTCTGATTACAGTTGGAGGCCATCCCAGAGTCTCTGAAGAATATGCTGCTTGTAATGGATACAGCTGGGATATTCCACAGTGCTGACTCACGGACAGGATACTCGGATCTCTGGGAGATCACCTGGGAGCGGATTGACTGTTTCTTACCTAGGCTGCGGGATGAGCTCTTCAAACAGACAGTCATCCAAGGTACGAGGGGCTGAGACACCTTAAGAAAACAGGTTTTGGACTCAGTGTTTGCACCTTGTCCAGTACCCAGCTGCCATAGTGCCTGGATGCTGATGAAATGGTAGGTGCAGGAGGCTGTGGGAGCTTAGCACAAGGAGGGCAGATGGAGGGTGGGCAAAAGGAGTGAGCAAACTGGTGTGTAGGCTCACTGCTTGTTTTGTTTTCCTAGATCCTGTCCCCAGCATACCAATGGAGCAGCAGCATCAGAAATCAATAGTGTCTGCCCTGCCCCTTTCCTCTGTGGGGGATGTGAGACCAGCCACCCACCTGAGTCCTTTGGAGAAGCCCTGTGAACTGGGTGCCAGTGGTGAGTCCCTTTTTCTTCTTTCTAGAATCATCTTCCCAGCACAGTGGCGTGGGTCTATTTTTCCTTGATTTAGTGATTTACAGTGATCAGGCCTCTGGTGCTGTGGAACTGTTGTGCTTCCAGCTGAGGTTATTGGGGTGGGCAGAGGTTGCGGCAGGATGCCTATGATCAGCACTTGCTCCTCAGGGCCGCATATGCAGGTATGTGGAAGGGGCAAGTCTGAAAAGGGCCCTGAGTTGATCTTCAGCCCTGCTTAGCTTTGAGCTGCAAGATGACTTCGTCAGGGCCTGTGTAAGGGTGTGTTTTGTCTCTTCCTTGTTCCAGAGTCTGAGAGAGCCACTGTACCGGCCTCACCCACCATCAGCACGTCTGCCTCTCCTTCTTTGCCAGCATCAGCTCCAACAAAGACAAGCCCCGTTACAGACATACCTCCTGCAACAGCACAGCCACCACTCATCCTGCAGCCTCTTGCCTCTCCCCTGCAGGTTGGGGTGCCACCTATGACTCTGCCAATCATTCTCAACCCAGCCCTAATTGAAGCCACCTCTCCTGTTCCCCTCTTAGCTACTCCACGGCCCACTGACCCCATGACAACCTCTGAAGTCAATTAGTTTGAGGCTGTCTAAGAACTGTCTGCTGAGAAAACTGTGTGCGTGGAGGATGCTGGCCAAATGTTCTCTGGTAACAGGCATGTTTGCTTTAGAAGGTGATGCTAACCTGAGCAGAAGGGCTCCTGCCACAATCCCGCTGGAGCACATCGTGTTCTGCACCCTTCTTGTGGCAACCGCCTAGAAATCCCTGTCTTCTTGGAGGGATGCCTGGTTCCACGGACCAGTCTCCTTCCTGCCTTCACAATCTCAGGGGCCAGGCAACGCCTGCACCCAGCAGCCTGGGACCAAGTGGCCAGTTCACCAGTTAGTCTGGTGAAGAGGGAAAACTCTTTGATGTCACACCAGAAAGGGGCTGCAGTACGGGACTGCCCCTCAGATTATTCAAGTCCAGTCCCTGGACGATTCCTCAGCCATTCCCTAGCTTTCCTGCCCATGCTTCTGGTCACACTGCTTTGTTTGGTCAGGTTGAGAATTTTGTGTAGAAATGTGGATTGCTTACAGTGCAGCTCCCAGCGTGCTAGGTAGAGCTTCTTGTCTGCTGTAGCCACATGCTTTCCTTTTGCAACATGGATCACAGCAATTCCCATGCCAGACAGGGAGCAGGGGAGCCTGGCAGGGGCAGCACTGCTTTCCTCCCTCCTCCTGTAAATGTAATGAGGCTTTCTGGTTGGAGGGAGCAAATTCCGAAGGTTCTGCCTAGTTGAGCAGATGAGAAGAAAATGCAGAGTCCCGTCAGCTGAGAGCAGAGCACCATGGCTGTCTCTCAAACAGCGCTTGGGGAGCCACTCCCCAGCAGTGCACAGCAGTGCTGTGTTGTCCACCGCTCACTACACTGGCCTCTTAGTGTCCAGCCCCATTTCTTAGGAGAACATCCTCTTCAGCTAGAGAAGCTGTGGGGATCTGTGGCACCTGCTGACAGATGCCCAGCAAGTCTGCTGTGCTTTCTCTTGGAAGCTCTGCAGAGATTGCACCCTTCTGCATCTTCTAGTTGTTGGGAGCCCACCTCCTTCTCCACCTAGAACTGTAGCTGAGGCCCTGGTAGTCATTCTTGTGCTTCTGCCTTGCAGCAAGGATGTCCTGCTCTTCCACCCCCTCACGCCCAGAGCAGAGCTGGCTGCCTGGCAAGCGCTGCATCTCTGTTCTTCCTCCTCTCTTGATTAGTTGGCTAAATTCTTAATAATATCAATCTCAGAAATCCCACTGGTGACCAAGAGGGACATGTGTGGGTCTCCAACCCAGTGTATACTGTACTGAGAGGAACCTGAGGTTGGGGTGGGAGTACAACCAGTGTACATATAGAGTGAATGGCTACAAATCCAATGGACTTTTTACAGTGTAATAAATACGTCCTGTAAATGAATGCTCCAGTGTTAACACTCCTTTTCTGTCGTCGTTTTCTGCAGCTCAGAGCTTTGGGAAGAGTGGAGTTTAGTCGCCAAGGTGCTGTGCCCAGCTGCCAGCCCCCTGGGTCCATATACCAGCATCCTCCAACAGTGTGCTCTGTCTGCGGGGAGCACGGAGGGACTTGCCCTAACAAATGGCCAGCTCGTGGGGGGGCTGCAGTGGAGGCTGGCTGGCAAGGGGCTAAGCAGAAATGGTTCCCATCATGAGCATCGCAGAGCAGTAACAGATAGATTGCTTTTGCTTCTGGCAACATTTTGGTGTCGGCTGTAAAATTTCTGAAGTTCTGCTGATGTGTGCTCATGCACTGCCAGGACTGAGAGCTGAGACTAGGGCTGAGGAGCAGGTGCCCTGTGGCATCTCGGCATGCAACCAGAACACGGACCTCAGAGACAACCTGGTTGACTTTGCAGAAAGGAGAATTTTCTGTCTAACGGGGAAGAAATCCTCGTTTCTGCTGTCAGGATCCAGACTTGGAGAGGGTGTGAGAGATCCTGGGCTCTTCCAGGGCTAATGCTTGCCATGGGTATGGACAACCACATATACTCCCCTCCTGATATTTTCTACTTTGTCTTGTGGCAAGATCCACACAGTGCCACAGTGTCCTTAGAGCTGCGTGAGGCATCAATGCCTTCTCTATCACAAAGATTCCAAGAGACTCCTACAGGCTTGATGAAGGTTTTAAAAACTTGGGAGTTTATTTGAATTGCACGAGCAAAGGTCTAAATATTGCATAATGGAAGGGTAATGCATATACTGGGAAAGTCCTGTTAATACATCCTTGTTCTCTTATCCCATTTCCACCATTCCTGGAATATTTTCACTGCTGCAGCCTTCTCTTCCTCACCCTCCACTGCTTCCAGATTGCATCCTTCCAGCCCTTAGATGTTTTCATCCATGTATTTGAATCCTTACACTGCCCTTCTGTATCCAGGCCGCCTCTCTTGTCTTGTATTTCCCAGCCTTCACTTCTATTTACCGCTCTGTTTTTCTGAGGTGTCTCCCAGAATGCTCACTGAAACCTTTAGATGATTTACTCTTTGTAAACCGTCGCTCAATTGTCAAGTGCCTCGGTACGTCAGCACTACTGCCCTCTGATCCCCATGTGGCATGGTGTCAGCTAATGGCAAAGCCCAAAGCCCAGTGTCCCCAGTGTTGTGTTGTGTCCCGTCCACCGCCCGCACCCCGCCCCCCCGCTGCCTTCAGAGCCTTCAGATAGTTGTTTGGGGGGTGCTGTGTTTTAAACTGTGTTTGCAAACCCAGTTTCTACTGAGAGCATTTACATCTTAATTCAGACAATTGTGGTGCAAAGCAAAAGCCACCTGAGGAAACAGCAGGGAGTGGGACTGGAATGGAAAGAATGTTGACTGGAAAGACAGACAGAATTGCACTTTAAACAGTTTTCACTTAGACTGTAAATAGGAATGGACTGGAAAAACAGAAAAAAATTCTTTGAATGTTGTTTAGATTTTACAGTAATGAGGTTTCATGTGTTAGAGAAAATATAACAGGAAAAGTGTTTGAACTGAAGAGAGATCTGAATCAACTTACTAGTAGCATGTGCTGTGATACATATTTTTATCAATAAGTCTCTTGAACTCTGTTTTGTAACTTAAATTACATAAAAGACAGTCATACTACCAGCGGCCGCTGGTGAGGAGCGGTGTTCACAACACTAGCCTTCAGGTTTGTCCCAGTATCTACTTTTTCTAGTGTTGGACTTCTCATTTTTATGGGTCTGACTCACTGTTTTCCAGAGGAGGGTGGACAGATATCACCCAAGTTTGGATTTATGTACCTCTTCTGTTCCCATTTACATGAAGAACTTCCACCACTGCAACTGAGTGAATAGACACAAATATTGGGATTTAGCGAGTGTTAGCAGGACAGGTTACTGTGGAGTTGGTGTTTTCCTCATTGGTGTGAAGCTTCCTAGTGGGAGAAAGGCCTGTTGAAAGATAAGCCCTGGCTGCAAAACAGATTTGGTACTGAAACTTGTGAAACTGAAGCAATGCTGTTTTTAGATTCACTTCCTAAATGGAATGAGCACATACAAAAGTCCTGGTCTGTAGGAAAGATTTCCATGAATTATCTTCTAACAGTGAGCTAGCTGGCTTTTTCAGAAGTTTCCCTCACTGCTAGAAATGCCAGCTGTTGAACTCCTCTGGAAAAACCTGTTCCTGTTACGGAGCCTAAAGCATCCTGTGCCCTGCTCCTTCACCCCACCTGCGTGGGGCTTGTACTGCTCAGCCCATGGCCTGGGAGCACTCTGAGTGCTGCCAAGGCCGCTGGAGGCAGCAGCAGCTGTGCCGCTGGCCCGGCGCCCGCCGCCCTGGCCGGCGTTGTTCCCACTGCCCTGTGTCCTGTCTGCACAGCCATGGGGGCTGCCGGGAGCAGCAGGGCTGGGCCTGCTGTCCGCTGGTGGACAGAAATGCTGGGGACAGCTTTGGGACTGTGACTGCCTCGGGAGCAAAGCTCTGGAGTGCAACTCCTGCAGCAAAAGCTGATGGAACTGACATGCTGAACAGCACGCAGGCTGCCTGCAGCGCCATTCCACACGGGGAGGTGAGATGCCCCGAGGCTGTACGTCCCAGTATGTAATACTCCTCCTCCATTTGCATGACCTGCAGCCTGGTCCGAGCATGGTGGTGGGCAGCCGGAGCTCCTCTCCCAGGGGGGCCAGAGCAGGTGCTATTCCTGGGCAGCTCCTCTCTGCAGAAAGCACAGCAAAGCTGCAGGCTTCAGGAGCGCAAGCTGCTCTGGAGCCAAGGGCTGCATGCACCCTTTGGCTATGCCGGATGTTTTGGGACTTGCAAACACACGCCTGCAAGCAGCCACCGAGTGGGAGGGTGGCTTATTGCTGAGTTACTGATAGGGAAATGGGGTCGCCGTGGCCTTGCCACAGCCTGGCTGCTCTGCCAGGGGAAGTTGTGGTTCCTCTTCTCTTTTCAAGTTTTCCATGTAAGAAAAACGGAGATTTCTCAGGCTTGCAGGGTTGGTGGGTGGCTGCTAAACTTAATCCCTAGCTGAGCCATTTGTAGAAAGTGTCTGGGAAGGGAGAGGTCAGGCGAACTGGGTGAGGACAGCGTGTGCGGATGGTGGGTTGCAGTCCGTGTGAGGCAGCCGCGGTGTCACCAGCCATGCGCTGAGAATGCAGCATCAGGCAACACGGAAGCGCAAGCTGAGCCTTGTCTTCAGGAGAGAAGGCTGGGCCCATGTTAACCCTCTTCCCACGAGGAAGAAGAGGAGACTGAGCAAGGTCGTGCGCTGGGCCATTACCTAGCGCTGTACCTCCTGCCCCTCTGCCCTGAGAGAGTGCCCTTTGGGCCACGCTTGCTGGAGGAGCCCCCGGCCTCGGGGACGTGGGCACAGGGAGGGTGTTTGGGGCAGAGACCGCATCACCGGGGGCTGTGGGGGGCGAGCTGCTGCTACCCCGCACAGCCTTGGCAAAGGCTGCCCCA